CCCCAAAACCCCAAAACCCCAAAACCCCAAAACCCCAAAACCCCAAAACCCCAGTTGTTCATATTAGAATTGAAGAATAGAGATTATATAATTTAATTGCTGAGATTTATATGGACGAGAAGCCTCAAATTCAAACTAAGAATTATAATTCAATTAGTTGTTCTGCAAACCCTAAATTCGATAACTACCAAGGTAAGCATAAGCAACTCCTTAGCTGTGAAAATAGACTAGAATTATGCATATGTACAAGCTGGCACTAGAAAATATTTGTTAGTTGAATTAAGACTTTGAAATAGATAACTCTCGATAATTATTATTTAGACCACTGAGAGCAGTCAAATGCTGATCAGATTTATCAAAGAATGGCGAATTACCCATCTGTGAAGATAAATCCTCGTAAAATGAAAAAGATAGTCCCTCCCTTTGGAGAATCTCCTCAAAATCATGCAAAGGAAGTCAGTATAAATAATCGCAATGGGAAGCTTTCAACTCCAAGAATAGAAACAATAGAGACTCTCATGACTTGAGGGGATGAAGAAATTGAGCCGATTGACCTCCCTGTGTTTGTCCCCCAGAATAAAAATCTAAGTCTTCCTCACGAAGAATATATTGCGATGATGAATACAGCTTCCCATGCCGAGTCTAACTTCTCCAATTTCATGCAACGCGAGCACGTTGAAAGTATCATCGAATTTGACGCTAAATTTTGTACTGACCTTCATACTCTGGAAGAGTAAGCTTTAACTGTAAATTTCTTAGTGAAGAAAGAGATGACCTTGAAATGCCATTTAAAGATAGCTTTATTCATGACTTTCCTTTAAGAAGGAAAGAAAATTTAGATCAAAGGAAGCACAAGATTAATTTTTAACCTAAACCTTCCTACTGTAGATCATAGAGGTCAGCTCTTATCAAGTTTACAGAAGTAGGTCTAACTGTAAAGGATTAAATCCTATGTATTAATTTCTAAACAATCTCTTACTGAGTTTTACTGAAACAGATCATCAATAATATTTTCTAGGTCCCTTTCTAAAATTAATAAGCGAGGTGAGAAACTTCGAAAAGCCAATATCATTCGCAACATGATCTGTAATTCTAGGTAAGAATAAGCTCTAGTTTGTGTTAAAATAATTTTTATACTTCTTCTTCTCTATTTTGGGTGAAAAACTGAGCATGAGTGTTTTTCTCAAACACTCTATACTCTAACAAAGCGTTTCATTTTTAGATAAAACTTATTTTAAGTGAAGTTGGATGTCCCAAGACTAATTTCTATTGAACCTTATTTTTCGGACACTTTTGGTCCCTTTTTAGCATGTTATAAGTTATTTAATAGCAACGCCAGATCTAATAGCTCCAGAACGATACCTCTATTTAAGAAAAAGCACAGTGCTTGATATTTCAACAAAACTCTAAACCCTGATTTACAAAAATAAACTACTCTTCCCGCCCTCTACGGCTGGAAATCTACACTATCAGTGCAAATTTTCCTTGAAAACCCCTTCCCAGGTCATTTTCAACCAATTTTTTACTAAACGGGGTTTTGGGGTTTTGGGGTTTTGGGGTTTTGGGGTTTTGGGGTTTTGGGGTTTTGGGG